CCCGCTCCAGCAGGTCCCTGGCTCTGCTGTGCTGAGGACTCCAGAGCTGCCCCAGCACTGCAGGGGGGGCTCCCCAGAGAGGAGTAAAGCAGGAGAATCACCTCCCTCCATCCTGAGGCAGAGCCCTCAGCTCCCACTCCAAGGTGTAAACCTGAAATCCATATCCTCCTGGTTGTTTGTCCCTCAGGCTGGTACTTGTTGGGAGCCTTCCTGATGTCACACTGAGTTAACTTTGCCTCAGTGCACAGGAATCTCCTTCAGCTGGGCAAGTTGTGTCCTTCCCTCTGCTCATCAGCCAGAAGACTCACTGTACCAACATCCCACCCCAGGAGCAGTCCTGCAGCCCTCCCCATCCCACCACTGTCTTCTCTGGAGCTGCTGGAGGTGGACAGTTTGCATTCTCTCCCCACCAGAGGCTTTGCTGAGAGCAGGCTGAGCTTTCATGAAGGAAAGCTTCACTGGGTGTTTCCCTACCTGAACTTTCCTCTCATTTCCTTTCCCTAACAACTAAAGTGGCTCTTGAGCCTCTTATTTCCTCTTCCAGTTTGGGTTTGGGGTTTGGTTTTTTTTTTAACATCACGCTGTCCAATCTTTAATTCTGCTCTGTTAGAAAGTCCAAGCCTGGCCAAAGATTTCTGGCTCTGTCAGAAGTTTCCCATCCATGGGTCCCCTCAGGCTGGCACTCAATCCACTGGAGCTTTTTCTGCTTGGGGCTGCTCAACCTCCTCCACTGCATTTTTTCCCCCCCAGTTGGCTGGACTCAGTCCCCACTGTGCCACCAGCCCTCGGGGTGCCTGGCTCCTCTCCTGCCTCATCCAGCTGCTCAGCTTTTTCCTTGGACATTTTCCCCAACACCTTTTCATTCAAGCTCCCAGGTCCAACACCAGATACGTTGGCCAACTTCTGCTGTCTCCTTTACCACCCTCCAGCACATCCCAGAAAACCTCGACTTTGTCAGTCCTATAACTACGCCATTCAACCACAAAACTGCCAAATCCCACCCTGCCTCCCAGGAAATGCTATCCAGTTGTTGACTCCCCTTGCTGATGCTCCTGGATAATGAAGAATTTGGCTCATCTAAGGCAGTGATTTCCTTGCATAGTGACATACAGCACGCAGCTGCACGACAGCTTCTCTCAGTCTCATCTGAGGAAGAGACCAGCATTCATCTATTTAAGCACCAATATAAAAGGCAAAACCCAGGCAAGTCTTAAGGATAGAAGAGTCTCAAGTGCAACATATTTCAGCTGAAGCATATTAAAGTGTGGGTAACTAAAAATGTAATTGCTCCAACTGAAACCTGAGCTGTGGGACCTGGAGTGATCTCATCCTCGAGCAGATCTGGGCACAGAATGGAGGGGCTCTCTGACATTTGAAATCAAAGGTTGGTTCCAGTGTTGAATTTTCTTTTAAATTACAGTCTGAAAAAAAACACAAAGGTGCTATTTGGTGGGAATGACAAAAAGGAAAATATTTATGTTCTCCTTCAAAGTCAGCATTTTAAGAATTTCTATGAAGAGCTTTGAAATGAAATGCTTTTACTTAGGATTTTAACACCACCTCTGCTTTTTGTCAGATGACCATGTTGCACAGGGAAATGCAGATGTCAATATGAAGAGGTTTTTCCAGGGGAGTAATCCTTAACCAAATTCTACCTATCTGTGTTCTGTATCCTGAAATATTTGCAGCAAAAATATTTGACAAGAAAATTCCTATTCCAACAGCTGCCCCAAATACAGATTTACCATAGGGATGAGCACATCTCCTTTGCTCTCAGCACGAAGTACCAGAACTAACCAAAAAAAAAACAGTGAAAGGAAAAGAAACATGCATTAAAATTACATCAGTGTCATTGTAGGGCACAACAGTACTCGTGGGGAGTTCAGCTTCCACGGCGTTTTCTGTCAGTCCACCCTGAGGATCCACTTCTTCGTTGTAGTTGACATCTTCATAGGGGAGAGGGGTGAAGTACTCTTCATTAATGGTCTCATAGTTGTACTCATCCACAAGAGGGTCATCCACTGTAGCATCTTCTTTGGGCTTCTTACCAGGATTCCCTTCATCAGGTGCTGGCGTGGGGGCAGGATAGTCCTATTGGAGGATAAAAAGCCAGAATCAGAGAAATAAAAAGAGTCATGTACTACCTGCCCCTCTAAAAAGGTGATATTTATCAGCCACATCCTTGCCAGAACCCTGCATGGTACCTGCTTGGTTTCAGGTCTCTCTCCAGCAGCCACTTCGGGAGTGCTGGGTTTGGTGGTGGGTGCTTCTGGCTTTACAGCTTCATCAACATCTTCGTAGTAGGGGTACTCGTAGTAGTAGGTGTCACCTTCTCCCTCCCCATCTGTGTACTGCAAAGAGAAGATGAGAAGCAGAAAATAAGCTGGCAGCACCCAAGCATGTTCCTACCAGCTCTTTTAGCCATTGCATGCCAACGAGGCCATGCAGTGCCACGATGCAGTCAAATCATTCCCTTCCTCTTGTTCAGCAGCTGAGAAACCTTCCCCAAGAGCCTGACTTGGGGCTGCTTTGGCAACAGCTGTGATTTGAGGAGGTTCCAAATCACCTCTTGGTCCTGCAGCATGTTCTCCCTTATCAGAAAGGACGGACTTACCCTGCAGCACTTCAGTTACACCCAATAACAGCATAAAAATAGAAAAAAAATGTATTTTTTTTAAACCTCAGACTATTGAGTCCTCCTCAGGTCACACATCTGATCTATCCACAGAGGGGAAGAAGCCAGGAGAACGGCACAGCCGCTCTGAGAAGCGGGGATGCTTTTTCACTCCTCTGACTGCTCTAACAGCCTCCCTGTGACTTCCCATCCACCCGCGGCCCGCAGGCAGAAGGGCTTGAAAAACAAGATCTTTTCAGTGGTTTCCACAAGGCGTCAGTCATTCTTCAAAATGAAATACAAACAAAACATTTGGTTACAGCCGGGCATGGCAAATCTCTTCGCCAGCCCATCGCTCTTACTGGCAGCAGACGCTGGCGCGTGGAAGAGTTATTCTTACAGGGAGCAACACAGCCCTAAGACAAGCCAGCCCTTGTTGAACTGCTGGCTCTAAAAGAAGAGTTTTATTTTCCTACTACCACAGATTTTGACCATACCCAAGTCTATTTTATTTTACTTATTTATTGTTTCTCCAGAAGTGCTGGCAGAGAGGTTACGGCGCTTCCCCGGGGCTGGGTGCCCGTGCCCTGCCTGCAGCCATCACTCTGCTCCCCACAGCCTGCCAGGCTCAGGTTTGTCATTCAATCCCAAAGCTAAGAGAGCAGGCTGATGGTATGACAGCTTCACGGGGATTCCGCAGCAGCCCAAGTCAGCAGGAGCCCATGGATCTGAGGCCAGCTGAAAGCAAAAGGGTGCATGGACCAGCAAATCAGACCAAGGGCAGCCAAGATGCTGAGAAGTGGCTGAAGGTGCCAGAGATTAATTGCTGTGAGCTGAGCCTGAGACCTCTTCAAAAGATGATGCTCTTGTGGATCTCATCCACACCCAGATATTTCTAACTGAGCAGCACAAAAAAAGATATCCTGCATCAGTCTTTTTATTTTATTTTATTGTTTAAGTGAAGATCTGAGGCTGACTCTTTGTAGATAAAAAACATTGAGCACAGCAGCTTATACAGATGAGCTGGGAGCACTGCTGGCAAAATGAAATTTTGTCAAATGCATGGGGCAAAAATACTCCCCCCCTCCTTTAGCACCTGTTGTTGCAAAGAAAGTTGAAAAAAATGCTTGATCTTTTTACAAGTCCAACAGTAAAAGTAGAAATTTAGAAACAGATGCCTGTTTTGGACAGAAACCCCTGCCAGGGAAGGTCAGTGTTTCACACCCAGCTCAGGTGGTCCCTCCTGCAAGTTTTAGAGCTCCAAGTAAATATTCATTTCAGTCTCTGGAAGCAGGAGGAGTGCAGAAAGGAAGGGAAACTCCCCAGGGCAGGAGCCAAGAACCTGAAAATCCTCCAGACAAGCTGTCTTGGCCCTGACAGGCAAGTCACAGGGAAACTGGATAGGAGGAAGAAACTGAGAGTGCATTTGCAGCTGTAATAGGGAGCTGGATGCTGTTGCCCCAAAAGCATCCCCAGGCCCTGCAGGAGACTTACGTATTCATCCTGGTTGGGGTCCTGGGACTGGGGGGAGTCGGGGACGGCCGTGTCGCAGTCAGGGCTGTAGTGTTCACAGTAATCATAGGCTGCTCGGGGGTCTGCCACGATCAGGAGCTGCTGGATGTCACCCTGGGGGAAGGAAAGCGTGTCAGGGGGGAAAGAGTGTCAGGGAGGTGGAATAGTGGATGGAAACTGCAGTCAAGGAGATAAACAGCACCGAGAAATGAAAAACAAAACCCTTGGCAGGGCCACCTCCCTGGCATGGGCCTGAGAGGAGCCAGGTGAAACCCCCAACGTCCAGGGCAGTCACTGATCTCAGGCTGCTGAGGTGTGAAGTCACCGTGCTTCACACCCAGTCCCAAACACCTTCCCAGAAGATAACCAGCTCTGCAGAGGTCACCCCCGTGCCCACAGCACAGCAGCGCTGACAGCCCCAGGTGAGGCTGGTGCAGTGAAAAAGGGCTTTACACACCCAAATCAGCAGTGTCCTGGGGACAATCAAATCTCCTTTCTTGCCTCGTCCTGTCCAGCTCTGCAAAGCTCCAGAACTGGCCTGCTCAGTTCAAAAAAAACCTGTTTATTGGCCTCAAAACTTCTCTGCTTCTCCCATCCATCAATTGGTCTCACAAAAGACATCACTCCTCCTTTTCTACATCTTGCCTCGCCTTAATTTTCCACCCACAACAAGGCAGCAGACAGAGAGTTTAGAAATGCATCTGATAACCAGAAAAAGACAAAAGGAGAGGGTTTGTAGAGGTTTATTTAAAAGCAGGTACAGAGCAAGCTCATTAGGCACCGAGGCTGCTCAACCCGCCACTTGCTTTATAGTGAACAAAGTGTGACAGCCACAGCCCAAAGGTCAGAGCAGAAATTGCTCTTTAGTTGCCTAAAGAACCACCACACTGCTTAACTAGGCAGTTACATAAGACAAGACTTTACTACTTGGAGTATTGGAGCTGATATTTTAATTAGGAGGGGGGAAAAAGTAGTATTTAATAATAGAAAAACTTGGCTAAGGCATCAGGGGAAAGAGAAGGAGCATTACAGCAAAACTGGGAGGATGATTTGGGCATGTAATAGGAACCAGAAGCTCTGAACACAGCCTGGCCAGACAAGCAAACAGCCCTGTGGAAAACCAAAGGTTATATTTGAAGTTTTGGGGCCAATCTGCCTTTGTGCACGCAAGCTGCACGTGGTCCAGCTGTGGGTGCCACCGGGTCCATGGGGAGCTCAGCCTTCCATAGACCATCAGCTTCACCAAAAACAGTGGTATTCCCATTTTTGGCAGAGATAGGCTGGGAAAGAAGGTTGCAAGGGGTTTCCCTCTCTGATTTCGAGATTATCACACCCATCTCTGCAGCAGCTCTTCCTAACATCTGAGCACCTCTCAGAAATTATGCAATTTAGCCTAAAAACGAGCATTGGTTTTAGCTTATTAGTCATTGTTTCCCAGGAATAACCTTTACAAAATTAACAGAAATGTCTGCAAAGAGGTTTTCAATTTTCTATTTTAAGAAAGAGAAATAGTCCTTCCTTTTTTTATTTCTTTTTTAATTCCATAAGCAGTTTTGTCATTACTGTTCTGGCTTTTTCTTCAACATATCCACCAAAAACGGGGATATGGTATTGGGAAAACAGAAGATGCTAAGTTTTTGTCTCCTAGAACATCTCCCAATTCCAGCCAGCTCCAGCCACCCCTTGATAATGTGACCTGGAAGGGGAACTCAGCCCTGGTGTGACCTAGAGGACATCACCCAGCCCTGAGCAGAGCCTTGAGGGAGCTGGGAGGTGTCAGGGGGTTACTCACACCACACACCACCCTCCTCTTCAAAGGCAGCTCAGAGCAACACACCAGGCTGTCCCTTTGGAGCTCCCTCCAGTGGAGGATGCTCAGTTTGCTTGATGCTGTGAAGACCTTTCCAGCTGCTATTTCAACACACAGGACCTCAACCAGCCCTGCCCCTCACTGACACCCGAGCTAAGCCTCTTATGTCCTCCTCTCTTAGGTGGTTAAAGCTCCCCAGCTGCCACGGGGCCATGGGGAGTGTCCAGCACTGTTGGGATAATCTGAAATAAAACAGCCACAAAAAGTAGATTTGGTACTTGTCTCCAGGAGGCAAGGAAGGAAGGCTGAAAGCTTTTTCTTCCTGATAAGGCTGGATTTACACCTCAAGCACAGCTGATAGCCTTCATCCTATAAGTGACCAGGACTATAACTGTGTTTCCTCGGGGAGCAGATAAAGCACAGAAAGGCACTGATGGCTAAACAGTGCAAAAGGTTAAGCAGAGGAGAATTTTCTAAAGCTGAGTTTGCTTCTAGTCTCAGCTGATGGCATCTCTGGAGCTGTGCACGGGCAGAAATCCTGGCTTGATCCCACCCTGCCTCCCTGCAGCACAATAGGACCTGAGGATCCTCTGGGCCTGATGGTTCAAGGCAACATGGTTCAAGCATGGAAAGGCAACACCTACAAGTCCCAGGAGCCACAGCAAAAACCCCAAAACCTCACTCAACACACCAAAGGACAGCGTTGGCTCTCAGTGAGTAGGGGAGGATGAACAAGGGAAGCTTTCTGCTAGTTCTGGGTGAAGAACCTGTGAAAATCAGGGCGTAACTGAATAAATTTGGTACGTGAAGGGTGCCAGGAAAAAGCATGAGCCCCATCAGGCAGCTCCTTCAGCACTCACCACGCTTCACGAGCATCATTCAACATGCCTTGCTATTTTCCCATTTCCTTTTCAACCCCAATCAATCACCCTGCCCAGCAAAGTTCATCCTTCTCTTGTTGTTCCAGCACCAGCCTGCGAGAATGCAAAAGCAGAAGGAAAACCAAGGCACCCAATTTTCAGGAATGAGAGCCCCAGGGAGCAGCTCAGCTCAAGAACACTGACATGGGCTGAGCAGCTCCAGGGTGGGGGAAGGAGGAGAGCTCCCAGGGTTGCTAAACCATTCATCTTTGTTTCATTAACAGCAAGTGCACGGCGCTGGTGGACACCCCGTGTTAACACTTGTAAAAAGCAGACAGGAGTAAAACCTTGTTAGCAGGATTCTCAGTCAACTGACCTCATCCCTCCGTGCAAAACAATAAAATGGGCTAATTTAGCCTGTAATAAAAAGCCCCACTATCTGAACTTCACAAAAGATGCACAAAGCTCTGCTGTCAAGAGCCCCCATTTCTTTGATTTAAAAAGCTGCCTTTAAATAGAGCAAGCTGGGAGGTTCACAAGCTCTTTGTGTCCTCTCAAGTGTGTTGCCATTAATAAATTTCACCAAGAGATAGCTGCCCCCAGCTCCTCTCCCTCTCCCCACTCCAGTGTCTATTTGTTTCACTGTTATGGTTACACAGAACACCCAAAACCTCTCTCCTTCCTATGTCAGCATCTGCTTTTCTCAGCAAGAACAGTGATAACGAAGATACCATTAATTTCCCCCCCTGCCCACTCCATACACTCATTTTCCATGAAGCCTTTGCAAGGGAAATCTTACAACTATGCTAAGAGGGGTTTGAAGACTTTACCAGCCAAATAATTTAGGTTTTTATTTTCAGCTAAGGAAGCATCTAAGTGATGGAGCACGTTGGTGACACCCTGGTATTGCTACGAAGGAGTGGTCACCAGCAGTGTCCTCCAGTCCCAGCCACCCATGTGGTTGGTGGGTAAAGTCCTCTACTGGCAACAAATTGGGCACACAGGGCTCAAGAAAATGCTCCACTAATTGGGATAGTAGTTAGCGTGGAGAGGCGAGGCACAAATGTGCCTTCCTCGTTTGATGAACAAAATTTGAAGTGGGGGAGAAGAAAGTCAATTTTTTGCCTGAAAACAGCCAATATTTCATCCCTCAGAAAAGCTAGTTTCTAAAAAAAAGGGGAATAAATCACATTTCAGCCTTTCTTCCTCGAGCTTCCCGTGAAGAGGAAGAGGCAGGAGAGCACATTTATGAAAATGATTGTGAATTGCAAGGCTTTTATTTGCTCCACCAGATGCAAGTGCTAACTGTCAGGACCAGTAAGAATCTGCCTGACATTTATGGTAAAGCCATTCATGCTTGATGACTCATTTGCTTTATGGATTAAGTTCCATCAGGCTAGTTTAATTCAACTCCCCAGCCAGCTCCCAGACAAGACTGGAAAAGCTCTTCTGGAGCATTTTTTAACACTTATTCTATATGTGTGCACAAATGTCACATCACTTCCAATGACATCAACTTCAGTAACTTGGAGAAATTGCTGTGGTTCAACAAAACAAACATCTGGCTAGGATCATCAGAGTGACTTCATCTGCCATTGGCAGTAGCTCCATAAATACTGAGATTCTTCAGGGCTTTCACTGCAGTGCACTGATAATTAACTGGACTGTTGTTTTAGTGCATTCTCCCAGAAGTTTGAGACACTCCTCTTAGCATCCATAGGAATAAATACTTCTTGATGTGCTTCTTAAAATTCCTGTGTTTAAGCTGGACAGCCACGGGTCCAGGATGTACAACTGTAACAAAAAAATCTTTAAAATTATTGGAAGCAATTGGAATGTTGCTGAGCTATTAGGACCAACTCAGTGATATCCTAAATACAAGCCTAGCTGGGTGGCTTAAGAGTGGCAGAGGTTCAATGATTGACTGAAAGCTTAGAGATCTCAGCCACCAGCCAGCTTCCAAAAAAACTAATCCCTGTCTCAGAGACAGCCTGGCAGCCTTCAGACATTCCACTTGATAAAACCTGGCATCAGCACTTGCCCATGGATGAAGGTTCTCTGCTAAGGACACAGCAGCTGCCCAGCTCCTTGTCTGCACAGGTTGGAGTAAGATGAAGAAAAGTGAAGTAAGAGGGGAGAGGTCAGTGAAGAAGAAAAGGAAGAGGTGACCCCGAGCTCACAGTGCCCCCAACTCTGCCAGTGCACTGAGAGCCCAGGTCAGAGTGACGACAACCAGTGGGACCATCAGCATCCTCTGTTGTCCCAGTGTCATCCCAGAGGCCCTTGTTTAAACACAGCTGCTCCAGGAAAGAAGCCAAACTGCAGCAACGGGGTCAGACCAAGCCTCATCACCACCAGCAGCCCCCCTTACCTGTGTCCTGAACCCCTCTTGCTGCCCAGCCACACCCAGGAGGGAGCTCGCCACGTGGAGCAACCAGCATCTA